GGCTTGCGAAGGCGAACGCTACGTTTGGAGAGTACCCCGACTACATCCCTGAATGTGCACCCTGGACATTGGTTTCGGGCGTGACGCGAGCATAACGGGGCCGGAGGATGCGAAGAGGCTAGATTGGTTGGGTTCGAGCCCCCTCGATGATAACAACAAGGACGATGGAAAAGATGACGTGTAGGGGGGGGGGGGGGGGGGGGGGGGGGGGGGAAGGCGCATGTACACGTGGCTGGTCGTGATGGGCTTGACTGTGGTTGGACCGTTGTGCAGTGTGCACCTGTTTAGTATGTTGGTCGGAGGGATTCGCCAGAATCGTCGTCGGTTGTGCAGATTTTTAGTGTGTCGGTCGTGGCATAACGACGGGTTGATTGATTTCAAATGTGTATTTTATGTTTAGTGCAGCTCTTTAGTGTGTCAGTGCATGTATTCTCGGGGAGAGTATGATCGGCGGGTACATGTCGCAGAGAGTATGATCGACGAAACTCTATTACCCAGAAGCATGTCAGTGCATGTGTTTTTGGATGCTGTAAAGCGCAAAGCGATTATTTCTTCAAGTTGTTTTGACGACGAGTTTGTAAAACTTGTTTTTGCCAAGCGGGGTTGAAGAATGTTTTTATCTCTTGTGTGGGACACAACTGTGGTGTGTGTCATCGAGTGTCCTTGTGTGTGTGTTTCTTTTTTTCATGTTCTCGACATTGGTGGGACGACATGCAGGAAAGATTTTTTGAAAATCAAGTCATCGGAATGCATGCGAAGATTCCACATAAGTAGGTTTAACATGTCATCCCACCACACCATCACACGAAACCATTGATGACAAATGAATTGAAGAGAAAAATAAATAAATAAAAAAAATGAAAGAGATACAAAAGAAAATAAGAAAAAAGTCTTCCCACCACACGAAACCATTCATGACAAACGATTTGAAGAGACGAAAAAAAAAATAAAAAAATTTAAGAAATGCAAAAAAAAACAGGTTCTTCAAATATTAAACATTTGCACAACTTTACGAACCAGGCAACCATCTACACGATGAAAACAACAGAGGAACTCATCGACGACAGCCATGTCATTCAATTGACCCAGCAACTTCGTGCACGACGACTATGGACACGGACCATGTCACAATTCCATCCGCCAAACGATCAC